TTTACTCTTGACGTCGAGTACTGTCAAATCGATTTTTTTTAAATTTTCGGGGGACGGATGACGCTACGAGTCTCCTACTCTAAAACTATAATTCTTAAGCCTAGCACAACTCAAAACAAAAAGATCTCGGTTGGAACAAGAAAGGAAGCATGTGTTTACTTTTGACGTCGAGTACTATCAAATCGATTTTTTTTTAATTTTCGGAGGACGGATGACGCTACGAGTCTCATACTCTAAAACTATAATTCTTAAGCCTAGCACAACTCAGAACAAAAAGATCTCGGTTGGAACAAGAAAGGAAGCATGTGTTTACTCTTGACGTCGAGTACTGTCAAATCGATTTTTTTACGAATTTTCGGAGAACGAATGATCTTATGAGTCTCATACTCTAGAACTATAATTCTTAAGCCTAGAACAACTCAGAACAAAAAGATCTCGGTTGGAACAAGAAAGATAGTATAAGTTTACTCTTGGTCCGATAGACTGTTTGTCAAAAAACTTTTTTTTAATTTTTCGGGCTTATAATTAAACTTATTGATTTGTGCTTTTGGAACAATGTTTGGAACAACTAGAACAATCTATATCGGTATCGGAATGCTTTATTTTCAAAAAATGGGGTGCCAGGTCAAAAACATTTTTTTCATTTTTTGGACTTATAATTCAACTTACGGATTTGTCCTTTTGGAACAATGTTTGGAACAACTAGAACAATCTATTGCGGTATCAGAATGTTCGATTTTCGAAAAGTGGGGTGCCAGCTCAAAAAATCATTTTTTTTGTTTTATTCGAAAACCGTTTCGAATGAAGCAATATCACTTTGGAACAATGTGGAACAAAGTCAAAACAGTCTGGCACAACTTTCAAAATTATCTGGCACAAATTTCAAAAAGTGGGGTGCCAATTTCATACACTCGCTTTCGATTGAAGCTTACAATAGAGCGAAGAGGTGGAATTACTTGTTTAAGGATGAAATCTCGCGGATGTATATTCAGTTTTTCGCGACAATATCACGCGTCCTAACGATCGGCTGGATTATTCTGGCCAGCATAACGAGATTTACCGTAAGATTATTACCGTAGCTGTGTCTCTCCTATTCGCATGTCCCGTATCGTTCGCTGATGAACGCGACGTACGCCAGCGGAAAATCACTCCGACTACTGTATATCTTGACCCAGTGACGTGCTCCGCGATGGGATTCTTGTGCGAATTTGCGCTCCAGGCATGTTAATGAAATAATTAATCTCGGCGAGCTACTTGGATAAAAGTTAGCTCGAATATGTGAGTTATTTATCAAAGTGTTTCGTTGGGGGCTATATGAAGAAATATTAAAGTCGTCAAGGGATCGCCTGTGGGCGTGTCGAACGGATTAAATGGATGAAATATTTATTTGCGTGAGGAGAGTGGTAGAGAATAACTGCGCGTTGTTCGTCGGACGGAGACGTTAGGTTCCATTTTTCTTAAATGAGATTACCGTTCCGTGATGTACGGAAGGAAAAAGAACGAAAAAATAAAAATAAGGAGAAAGAAAGAGGAGGAGAGAGAAAGAGGGTGGGAGCGTTATGCCATTAATTACGCCCCTCCTTTACGCACACGGAACGTATACGAAATGAGTTATCTGGCGACACTGTAATTTTTATTTGTGCACCTTACATCCTTTTTCGCTTTACCCCATTTCTCATTTTGCACCCGCGGAAATAGAAATGTACGCCTGCTCGTTTTTCCGCTGACATTGTGTTTGTACCGGTATCGTATTTGAATTTCCACACGAAATGTACAATCGGATCGGAGTATTCTGATGTTTAATTAAGGATACACGTGCGCGAGTTTTTTTTCTAATGTTCTTGTCTGTTTCTCGGCGACGGCTAATTTTTAATTATAAATAATATTAGCGTAGTGTAAATCAGAGTCATAAAATTTTCGATATTTATTTGAATGGTGTACTCGGTCGTAAGTATGTCATGCAACGTAAACGCAAAGTGACTTTATTTATTTTTCCCCCTTCATGACGTAAAGTGATATTTAAATGAGCTCATTACAGAATGATTACATTCACCGTAATTTGATCTTGTAATTTTGTCTTTATGTCTTTATTTCATTTATTTACAAAAATCCACGAGTATACCGACGCTGATTGAACTCATTATGTTTCATTAATGCAAATGAAATGCAAATATTGATACGCTTTCCTTAGTTTTCATGCGGAATCATGGAAACAATATATACCCAAGTAGGAATCGTATACATTTCGCCAGTACGGAAAAATGGCCCGATACTGGATCGATATCGAAAAGCGGATATCTGGTTTTGATACTGGCTCAATATTGGGCCTAATATAAAAAAGCTGTATTATTGGTACTGGCTCCGTACTAAAGTTAGATACTGAATACCGTACCGTACGTGTACTGAGGCGTTACCGAAAAGTATTTGCCGTTTTTTGTACTGGCTCAGTATTAAAAAAGCTGTATTATTAATACTGGCCCTCTTCGTAGAATCAGTACTGGATACCTAGTAGTAAAAATCGTATACAATCTGCCAATAGAGGATATTAGGCCAGTATTGTCTCGGTACCGAAAAACGAATGATACCAATGTTCTTTATGGGAAAACGGAAGAAGTCACTAAAGCGAAACCTAGATAGCTCAGAACGCTTGCCTGACAAGCGGAATACTCAAGTTCGATTTCAGCCGTCGCCCCGAAGATTTCTTCCTCATATGATTATTAAAAATAGACATATATAGGTACAAACGAGAGCAGCCCGGCCATGGTCTGATCTTTCTTTCCGTACTATATAGTTGTGATATTAACAATTGTACAAATAATAAAAATTACTAAGAATCGATACTGACCCAGTACTAGGCCAGTAATAGGTACTTCCCCAGTGCTAGGAATCAATACTTTTTTATACTGGTACAGTACTGTTTTCGATACTGGTCCTTTTCTATTATCCCAATATTACACCAATACTAAACCCGTACTGGCATCTAATATTATGCCAGTAATGTTTACCATTAATCAGTAAAGGAAAGTATAAGTCAGTATAAATCAGTAAAGGGAAGTTCTGTATGATTTATATAACTAAAAAATAGGGTGTTTTTACGAATTTTTTTAAAGAAATAAATAGATATCAGTATAAGATTTTGATTATACTATTTATCATTGTTTTACGTATAAGAAAATTATTTTAAAAAATTTTAAATTCCGTCAAGGTTTTTTAATTGAACGTGATGTCAAACGCTTTTAATTAATAGGCAATATTACAGCTCATGTAATAATCTGAAATAAATGAGACACAAAAATTTAAAAACTTTATTAAATTTACCGGAGGATGAAACTTTGTTATGTACAGGAAGTTGAAATTTAATAAAATAAAGACACCTCAAAATCACGAGTCATTTTATTCCTCATTTTCTTTTCCACTTAGTGTCCCGAGAAAAATAGTAAATTAAAAAAATAATAATTTTAAGAATTTTCCAAAAGATTTAGGTCACCCTCCAGAGAATTTAATATAGCTTCTAAATTTTCTTCTTACATTTGTTTAGGTTATTACTGTAATGTTGGCTGTAATGTTGGTCATCAGTTAGAAGCGACACCGCCTTTAGCACAAAAAACTTAGACAGAATTTCAATGCTTTTAGAATAATTTCCTTCTATATTTAAATAATCATAAATCATATATTTAAAGTTCTCTATATTAAAATACCTCCTATTTTTCGAATAAACCAAAATATGCATCCGCGGGCAAAGTATTTCGCGGTTTTCCTAATAGATAGGTAGATGTGTATGTGTGTGTGTATATGCAAGTGTGCGCGCGAACGATTCGATTAAAGTTACAAGTCAAACCGCGCTCGATATTCGTTCGTCTTCACAATGAAATCCAGGGATTTGGCTCGCCCGTCTGTACGATTCTAAGAAGATATATAGAAGTTGGTGAGTTTCTAGAGATTTTCAGCGGATTTCAGGTCGCATTTGACGAAGCACCGTCTGAAACGAATGGCGTATCCATTTCGATAATGATCCCATTTCGTCACTCTAGCACGAATCGAACGGAGTCCCGGAGTTCCTTTGTCGCGTTCACTATCGAGACGCAAATACTATTTATCCTGTTTTTGCGTAACCGTGTTTTCCTCTCTACTGGCGTCGTCGAAATTCGTCCGTATTTCGGGGCCAATTTGCATCAAGCAGAAAGACGAAATCGCGCATACGTATGGACATATTAAGTGCTGTTAGTGTGAAGCCTCGACCAAATCCTTTTTAATGACATTTATCGTGCCGAAGAGTGGATTATTGGAGAAATGTCGGTTAAGATCCCTCCACGGTTTATTCACCGATCGTTATATCCCGGGTTTGGAATTTAGGTGAGAAGAACAGAGAGAAGAAAGGGAGTATCTTTTCTCGCACGGTCGATCGCACGAACGATCCTCGATATTCCAAACGTATATTTGCATCAATTTCAGCTTTGAATGGCGTCTGGCCGGGACGTACGCGATCGGCGGATTTTGCAACGAAATTTTCATTTTCCAGCGCAAACTGTCTACTAACTTAATAATACGACCGTACAATTCGTTTTATACTCCGTTGTCATTAATTCGTTTTAACCTATCTCGATTCTGCCTCGATTCCAACTTGTCAAGAGACGGCGCACGGCAGCGAATCTCACCCTCCCCCTTCCCCTCCCCATTTCGCGGATTCCATTTCACGGACTTTAGATTTTCAGCGGACTGAAGCCCAAAGTTCCCGTTGAAATTTTTTCTCTCTTCACCCGGCAAATCGTAAAATTAAACTTTTACTGTGTCTTACCGCGAGAGCAAACTGTGAGTGCTGCTTGAAGAAGGGTCGAGGGGATCTTCCCCGGGCGCAAAAGAAATTTTACACTTATTCATTCGACCGCTGATAAAAACCCGATAAAACAAAATCTTCCCGACGCGGAAAACGACGCGCTGATTTTTGCCCGTGTTTTTCGCACGGATGCTTCTCGCTGGCATTCACATGAAGTTTACCTCTTGCTCGTGGTTTTGTCAGTAGTTTCAAAACTATATTGTCGTAGGCGGTCTCCTTGGCGACCCCGGAATCCTTTACTAGCTTTTCTTTGATGGCGATACATATGTTGTATTTTCCGAGTAGTTCCTCGAGTTCCTCGAAGGCCTGTAACACAGAAGGATAAAGAGGGATATACTTTTTCTCTAAGACGTTTCCAACAAAGCATCGCGCATCTAATGCGCTCGCGGCCTTCATTGAACAGTGTTCGCGGTGCTTTGAGGTCTTTTGGAAGATAAATGATAGAAGAATGAAAAAGGGGAAGAGAAACAATATAATGGAAAAGATTTAAATGGAATATTAAAAGAGATTCTGCGTCTTTTGATGAGTTGTTTGAAAAAAATAATTCATTTGGGGTAACAGAGAACGCAACATTGATGTATATGTCCGAATCCACCAACGTCGATCAAGCCTTAAACCGCGTTTAAACCATTTGAAATAAATCAAGGCCCAATCAACGTTGGTGGAATCGGGTCTTAAAAGTGTAAAACATGCATGAGAAACAATGAGATTACTATATCATTCTCCTTGTTTTGTTAAATAGTTCACCAAATATTTTAAGTATCTTTAAATAATCTCGAATTTGAACTAAAAAATCAATGAAATTTCAAATATGCACATACATATATATATATATATATATATATATATATATATATATATATATATATATTACACTCAAATAAATGACCTGTGACCATTCTGTGAGGAGCAGAATTGATTATTGATCAATTGAATAGTTTTTGTTCATTTACTGTTCTGTTGTCGTTCTATAAATGGGTTTAGATTTTGCACATCTTATATACGCAATAACTGCAAGAAAAGTTATATATTAATTGGGATCCTAAATAGTTTTACTTTTCAATTACTAAACAAAGATTAACATGCTGTTATTGCAAGTTTTCTTAGGAATAGAATGATTTTTCTATGTGAGTAACAACGATAAAGATTTTTGCACAATGTTTATATTCATTTTCCGATAACAAACATTGAAAAATTGCCTTATAATAATCGAAAAATGGTAATAGCTAATCAAATCTGCATTGTCGAGAGATTCTCTCACGCGCTATTAATCACATATTAGGTGTACAACTTTGCTTCCGCCGTTTTTTTTCCGAAATTCGAGGCTTTATTGTAAAAAACTGGTTATACATTTATGATTCAAAGTATTGTCCAACGCTGGCCACTACTTTCTCCCATCTTTTGGGCAGCGTACGAATTCCGCGTCGAAAAAACTGGTCATCTTTTGAGGCGATCCACGATCTAATTTTTTACTTCTTCATAAGACCGGAAGTGCTGATCAGTCAGGTCGTGTGCCATTGATCGAAACAAGTGATAGTCAGAGGGAGCAACGTCTGGAGAATACGGCGGGTGGGGTAGGACTTCCCATTTCAACGTTTCCAAATATGTCTTGACCACTTTCGCAA